GTTGTAAATACTTGAAGATGATGAGGTTGAGAGAGTAAAAAGGCCATTTTCGAAAAAAAATAAAAAAAAAAATTTAATGGCATTTTCGTAAATAAAATGAACATGTGGGGTGGATAGGACAAAAACAAGATGAGATAAAAGAAGAAGTTAGTTTTGTGTTTGACCATGAGTTTTGAGTCAAATTTGCAAAAAGCCCTATATATATATATTGAATATATTTTGTTTTATGGAAAAAGTAGAAGATTTGCATGCAAATCTCATCCGCTAATATTTGGTGGTGTTAATCACTTTGTACAAACACTTAACTTTAAAATATATCTATCTGAGTTTATAAATAATGTACAATAATTAGATCAAGCAACATAGTACATATTAATACTATTTGTGTCATTTTAAAATTATAAACATGACGTCCAGTTGTCAGCAAAACACAACATTTTTCAAAGAAAAAGATATAAATTTTCATACATAAATATTAACAAGGGTAAGTAATTAATATTTTTGTTTTAAAATAGTTAATATATAGGTAAATAATTGAAATTTTGTAAATCTTGTAAGAGAATAAAAGTTTAAATGGACTTTTAAAGTAACTTTTATAATTTTAATATATGATCTATAGCTTTGAACTGATTTTGCAATTCATAATTTATAATAAATTATTTGATAAGCTTGATCTACATCTATTTATACTTGTCTCATTTGATCTACATTTATCTTGTCTCATTTAATCTACACTTGTTCTGTTTAATCTACATACCATTTAAAGCTTTAAGAAAAACCAATGGAGATAGTCTTTGGAGGAAGTTAAGGTTTGTTTCTCCATTCTTTTTGTTAGACGTCGTCATTTGAACTTCGATTTCTTCTTCCTCTTTAAAGCCTCTCACTCACTCTCACGAGTTCAAAATTATTTTTATTCAAATTAGGAGTATTAAAGTTTTAGCAAAAGACAAAGAAAATTGTAAGCAAATATGATGGGTAACGTATTCGTTTATTCAATGACCTTGGAATTATATAAAAAAATAGTCAACTTGGACGATTCTTTCATGATAAAGGGATGAATGAACATTAAAATTGTTAGTAAAAAACAAACACATTCAAAGCGAATCTATTACTCCCTCTGTTTCATATTAAGTGTCTTTTTAGATAATTTTTTCGTTACAAAATAAATGTCGCTCGATTTTCAATGCAAAATTTATTAATTTTATTTTGCAGTCTATTTTTCTATTGGTTGATATATGGTTGGATGTATAGGTAATTATGTGTTTTATATAGAAAATATGCAAAATTAATGGTTTCTTTAATCCGTGTGCATGAACCTAAAGCGACACTTATAATGAAACAGAGAGAGTAATGTTGTATAAAATTGATTTAACTTGAAAAATCTTTAGCAGAAAAGGTCAAAGGAGAATCCATTCAGAATTCATGTTTGGACAAAGACATTTTTAGAAAACATACTGAAGTTTCTAATATATTTTCTAAAACATGCTGAAGCTATATCAAATATATATATATATATATATATATATATATATATATATATATAGATACAGATATTAATAATATTGGGACTTTAAAATTTTATTAATTTATAGAGATATTAATTTACTAAATTATTTAAATTTTCATATTAAGATATATTTATTCTAAGATAAGAAAAATATTTGATTTTAGTGTATAGACAGTAGTTAAATTTATTAAAAATTTGACATTTATATTAATTCTATTATATTTTGGTGTTTATAATATATATTATATAGAATTTAAATGTGGTTTATATATAATATTACTAAAATCTCATCAAAAATATATTAACTGTTAAAAAATATAAAGATAATTCTATTTTAAATATAAAATAAACAATATGATGATAGGTTCTTACTTATATAAAATATGTATACATATAAATTACTAATTTATAATTTTAATAGAACCATATATTTACATAGAATTTTCTAAAAAAATATTATCTTATTATTTATTGATTTGTGTCAAATTTTGAATCGGTCCAAAATTGTACCGAAAAAATTATTAATTTATAAAAATTATTAATTTATCAAGAATTAATTTATAAAGGTTCTACTGAAGCATTCATAATTTCATATATGTTAAGGTTTTATATATATATATATATGGTAAGTTACTATGAGTTTAATAACACAAAGGGAAAATAATCTGACCAAACCGTTGACAAATCTGGCAGATTGACTGTGAGATTTACGTTTTGCAGTTTATAATAATTACCTTTAAACTTTTTTTTTGTAAACTTTTTTTTTTTTTTTATAATAATTACCTTTAAACTTTTCCGTAGAAGAAATAAACCCATTTGGTTTTATAAACTCGATCATAAGTAAGAAGGTTCAAAGCTAATCATAAATCAATTCTTTCATCATAGGAAAAATAAGACTCAAGGTCGCCATGATCAGATTATTCTTAACCTTGGCGATTTTGTGTGGCCTTTACAATGAAGCCTATGGGAAAGCTTCTGTAGATATAGATATGAAACTGAAGGCCCTTAATAAGCCGGCGTTGAAAACTATCAAGGTATGTATGGAATCTGAAGGCAAAAGATAATATTACAATATTTATCTTTTTGGGTTTCTAATGAGTTCCAAGAATCAATTGCAATTATTTTGTAGAGTGAAGATGGGGACATAATAGACTGTGTAGATATCTATAAACAACATGCTTTTGATCATCCCGCCTTAAGAAACCACAAGATTCAGGTAAACAAATTCTATACATGCATGCAGCAAGAGTCTCTAGATAACGCTTTATCTTTACTCAATTCACTTATTTGCATGCAGATGAAACCAAGCGTGGAGTTTGGTACAACGAAGACCACTATACCAAACAACGGTACTTCTAAACCAATCACGTCTCAGATTTGGTCCAAATCTGGAACTTGTCCCAATGGGACAATACCGGTTCGTAGAGTCAGTAGAGAAGACATAATGAGAACCTCTTCACCGTCTCATTTTGGAAGTAAAACTCCTCGAAAATACTACTTTCTCGACAACGCACTTAAACACAAGGCTAATTACAATATAACAGCTGAAAGACTACGCCAACCCATCCAACCGGACCGATCGGTACGTAAAAGTCCAAGTTGTTAAATGAAGAAGTTATCATTTATTATCATTGTTATTGTTAGAAACAATTCTTCTATGTTGATGATACAGGAGGCGATCCTTATCACTCTTGGTTACAATTATCTTGGTGCCCAATCTGATATAAATGTCTGGAACCCTCCGGGAGTTGAGCATGACGACTACAGTTCTGCTCAGATATGGCTGCTTGCTGGCTCAGCTACTTTTGAGAGCATAGAAGCTGGTTGGGTGGTACGTTTTTCTAACCCTAAAAGTCATATAGCTTGTGTTAGAAGTAAACCATAAATTGATAGCCATAATACTATTTTCAGGTGAATCCACACGTTTTCGGAGACTCCCGCACACGTCTCTTCACCTACTGGACTGTAAGTTACACTATTACATGACTTTGGTACATCTCAAATAACAATTTCATAAATGATGGATTTGAAAAAAAAACTACTCATTAATCTATTTGGGTTTGCAGAAAGATTCATACAGTACAACAGGCTGCACCAACCTCTTGTGCCCCGGTTTTGTCCAAACAACAACTAAATTCGCCCTGGGTGCAGCCGTAGAACCCGTTTCAACTCAATCGAGTGAACAATATTACATCACTGTTAGCATGTACCTGGTAAAATTTATATTTTATATTGTGAGAATATAAAGCTCTCACATCGGAAGTTGGGCTACTAAACTTAAAACAAATTGATTTTAAGCTAGAATTCCGGGAAACTTAACATAGATAGTGATCATCCTTTTGTGCCATCCTTGTATGTATTTTCATCATAAAGCCGTATATGCTTGCAGGATCCAAACACCCGGAACTGGTGGTTGACTGTTGGGAACAACGTGATAGGGTACTGGCCGGGAACACTCTTCACAGTCCTAACACACAGCGCCACGGCAGTGCAGTGGGGTGGAGAAGTGTATAGCCGTAACGTGAAGAAGACGCCACACACAAAAACTACAATGGGAAGTGGAAGATATGCATCTTACCTCTTTGGCGACGCTTGTTTCCACACCAACGTTAGGATCAAAGACTATTCCTTGCAGATCAAGTTTCCGGAAACTCTATCAGAGTTCACTGATGAGAACGAATGTTATTCTACAAAGCTTAATAGGGAAACATATATGTCAGAGCCCGTTTTCTTCTTTGGAGGACCTGGTCAGAATCGCTTTTGTCCTTAACTCTAACCTTTGTAGGGCTCAATTCATATACTTGAATGCTTTAAACTCCTTAATCAATCCATTGTGTTCAATATCTAGATGTAAACTGAACTTATATAAAATTAATGAATAAAACTATGCATCTTGTCATAGTTCAAAATAAGAGATAACAAGGAATACCAAATTTATAAAGACCATTATCATTCATTTATTCTGAACATAAAGAGTTATCTAGTTGATTTGTCTGGCACCGTTGGTTTGTACATCTGAAAGATAAAGATGCATTCAGATGTTCATCTGGGTGTTGTTCGTTTCTGTATTTCGTCTGTACATCTAGATGAATCATTTGAATGCAACTATGTTCGTTTACTTTTCTTTTATTTGAACTTGCATTTGCATTCTAGATGAACTTGTTACTAAGATGATTAAAATAGACTTGTTTTACATTTTTGGCAGAAAATTGTGTGTTTTAAAGCTTTGACACAGAAATATATTATTTTGTGGTTTTGATAGAAAAATGCATTTTTGTAAAGAAATATTTTTATAGTTTTCAAAAAAAAAAAAATGTGTTTCTATTGTTTTGGCCAAGAGTTCATTTTGCGGTTTTGTCGGAAAAATGCATTTTTATGGCTTTGGCCAAAAAAAATATTTTAGCGATTTGACAAAAAAGTGCATTTTGCGATTTTGACTGAAAATTCATTATTATGGTTTTGGACAAAATGTGTGTTTTACGATTTTGACAAAAAGTGAATTTTGACAATTTTGGCGGAAAATGTGTTTTTACTGTTTGGCGGGAAAATGAGTTATTATGTTTTGTTTGGAAAATGCGGTTTTGGCGGGAAAGTGATTTTTTATGGTTTTGGCGAGAAAATACGTTTTGTGGTTTTGGCGGTAAAATGCATTTTAACCATTTTGGCGGAAAATTACTTTTTGCGGTTTTGGTGGGAAAATACATTTTAGCGTTTTTCGCAGAAAATATGTTTATAGTTTTGGCGAAAAATGATTTTTGGCGCAAATGTGTGTTTTTACCATTTTGGCGGGAAAATGAATATTGTGGTCAACTTTGTTTTTGGTTAGACAGCTAATTATAATTTGTTTGATGTAAACTGAGTGTAATTTATCTTATTTTTATTCAATTTTTAATTTTTTTATCAAAAGACAAAAAAAATTGTAAACAAATACTCCCTCCGTTTCATATTAAGTGCCATTGTTGAAATTTTTTTTGTTACAAAATAAGAGTCTTTTTTTATTTTCAATAGAAAATTCATTAATTTTATACCGTAATGAATTTTTCTATTGGTTAGTTGTATAGGTAATTGTGTTTTATATAGAAAATAGGCAAATTAATTATTATTTTAATTCATCTGAACAAAGGTAAAGAGACACTTAATATGAAACAGAGGGAGTATGATGGGTAACCAATGTAGCGTGAACTACGATAAACATGATGCATGGTCCTATTTAGTCTAAGAGTTCATAGGATCAAAGTCTTCTTGTTATCGTTGAGAACACCAATGTTCTATAGAATGCAAGGATCAACACCAAAACTCTTTTAATTAATAATCAAAGTAAAAAGTATCTCTTACAAATCAAGAGGATCCGTATTTATACGAATAAAAGACCTAGGTTTAAGAGGATTCCAAGCTAATGTCCTCCGGCCCTTATCTTAAATCATAATTCTTTATGTATAAGGATAAAGCCAACATAAACATAATTAGAAAAGGAAATTAAAAACCAGAACTAAATAATAAAAGGGTTTCCACGCTACATTAGGTCACCCGGGGTGATTCGACCTCGAATCTTCACAGTCGTCATTTTCAATGTAAGGAAACTGATGTTTAACATTAAAGATATCGGAGCAACGAATGTGTTCAGGAAGTTGAACACAATATGCATTGGCATTCATTTTTTCGAGAACCTGCAATGGTCTAATCTTGCAGCCTTTGAGTTTATTGTAGTCTCCAGCTGAGAACCGCTCCTTAGTAAGGATGACCCAAACCGAACCACCAATCTTGAATTGAACATCACGCTGGTTTCTATCAGGAAAAGCTTTGTACTTACGGAAGATGGTTGTAAATTGTCATGAACCTGCGAATGAATTACAGACAAAGAGTCGATAAACTCGACTGCTTGGCCGTGATCACTCGTCAAATCCGGGGCGACTCCCAAATCAGTAGGACCACAGGGAACCAACCCATAAACAATGTGAAAGGGACAATAACGAGTGATTCTATTGACAGCATGATTATGTGCAAACTCTGCCTTGCAGAGAATTGAATCCCACGACTTTATGTTATTACCAGCTATGCAACGAAGCCTATTACCGAGGGACTCATTAGAAACCTCGGTTTTTCCATCAGTTTGTGGATGATAAGCCATACTCATATCAAGACTTGTACGTAACAGCTTCCACAATGATCTCCAAAAGTAGTTTAAGAAATGTGAATTGTGGTCGGACACAATACACAGAGATAACCCCTGAAGTCGCTAGATATCACGAGAGAATAATTTTGCTACTTGAAGTGCATCAGTTTTTTCCTTGCAAGAAACAAAGTGAGCCATCTTTGAAAACCGGTCCACAATGACGAAGATAGAATCATTGCATTTTTGTGTGCGCGGTAATCCCAGAACAAAATTCATAATAATGTCAATCCCCAGTTGAGTAGGAATTGGTAATGGCATGTACCGTGATTTGATGTTGTCCCTTTAGATTTCTGGCATACGACACACCGTTCCACAAAACGAGAGACATCCATTCATAACATAGGCCAAAAATACGAAGCAACCACGAGCTACCGAATACGATCCCGACCCGTATGAACCTCATCATTGATTTTCGTAGTGATTTGTAGACATAATCTACATTCTGGTATGCATAACATGTTGTTGAACCTGCAACACATACTCCGAATCACGGCCATGTTGCAGTGACGTCCAAATAGAAGAAAATAACAGATTTGTGCGGTTCATAATATACTGCAAAACCCGGAAATGTAACCTGCATTGTTGAAAAAAAGTGTATGGCGTCGACTCAGGGCATCAGCCATCTTGTATGTACATCATGATTGATGGCGAATGATGAAAATGAACTGTTGTAAGAAGGCGATCCAGGCAGCATGTCTTGATAAGATTTTCTTTTGGCCTCCCAAATGTTTTAGAGCATCATGATCCGTAAAAAGCACAAATTCTTGATGAAATAGGTAATAACGCCAATGTTTAATAGCTTGCTATTAAACATTGACATAAAACTCAACGTCATAACTCATAAGTGTTATATCATACCCGAGAACCCAAACTTTTCTCGCTAAAGAAGACAATTGGACGTCATTGTTGACTAAGAACCACGCCAATACCATTCTTGCAAGTGTCACAATGTAGCCCAAAAATAACAGAAAAATCTGGTAGTGAAAGAATTTGACTAGAGATGTGTTTTTCCTTGATAGTCTCGACTTAAGCTTCCAAAGTCCAAATAAATGATGTACATTTCATGCAGTCTGTTAGTGGTGTTGTGATATTGCTAAAATGTTTACAAAGCAACGGTAAAACGACGCCAGACTGTGAATAAAATAGACTTCTATAAAATTCGTTGGAACAACCATGTATGTATTGCTTCCACTTTCCTGGTGTCTACGTGCAAGCCTTGATCAGAGTCTGCATAACCAAGGAAGAGAATTTTTTGGACTCCAAAGATGCATTTTTGGTGAGCTGTGAAGAGCTTTTGATGATGCAACACTATAAGAACGTCGTCTAGGTGCTGAAGATGACTTCGAAGATCTGTGCTGAAGATAAGAATGTCATCGAAGTATACGACTACGAATTTTTCAATGAATGGCCGGAGAGCTTGATTCATGACGCGCATAAATGAGCTTGGTGCATTGGATAGTCCGAAAGGCATAACCATCCATTCAAAAAGATCCTCACGAGTCTTGAAAGATGTATTCCATTCATCACCAAGTCGAAATAGAATTTGCTGGTAACCACTTTTGAGATCTAGTTTGGTGAAAAGTTGAAACTTGGCCGATTTAGTCTAGAAGGTCATCTAAACGAGGGATTGAAAAACGGTATCGAATAATGATTTTTTTGATAGCTCGGTTATCGACGCACATACGCCACAACATATTTCTTGGGAATAAGAAAAACGGGTACTACATCATGGCTTAATCTTTCTCGAACATATCCCTTGAGAAGGAGAGCTTCTACTTGGCGACGCAACTCGTCATGTTCTTGTGGGCTCATATGACATTGCAGACGGTTTGGTAGAGCCGTGTTGGGCATGAGATCAATGCGATGTTGAAAATCATGAAGCGGAGGAAAACCAGGTGGTAACACACCCTTGACGTTCTTGAGGATAGCTCACAACTGGTGGTGTAGCGTCAAAAATAGTAGTAGGCGTGGTTGTTGTTGGTGAAGCAATGACAGCCAAAACATATTCACAATCACGTAAATGTTCACTAAAGTCAGACTTCAGAAGTAGGAGTCTAGATTGTGAAGTTTGTTTAGCTGTAGTTGAGCGCGGACTGATTGACAGAGTCCGAGATGACTCCACTGGTTTCATAGATGGGCGTAGATTAATAATACGATCACCACAAAGAAATGTATATGTATTATTTTTTCCTTTGTGAATCGCGTCGCGGTCGTACTGCCATGGGCGGCCTAATAGGAGATGACATGCATCCATGGATACCACATTGCAGTTAACTTCATCTTTGTAGGAGCCTATAAAAATAAAATAAAAACCGTGATTGTTTAGCCACTATAATTTTGTTTTGTTGTTCAGCCATGTGAGTTGATAGGGTGATGGATGAGGTGTTTTCTGAGCCCGAGTTTCTTTACTACTTCTTTTTAGACGACATTAGCGCAACTTTCAGAATCAATGATAAGCTTGAAAATTTTGTGTTTGATAGTGCAGGTGAAGCAAAAAAATGTATTTTGTAACCGATTCATATGTTGAACGCGGAGCAACACAACTACGACGAAGGACCAAAATTTGCTTTAGAGGACCAATATATCCTTCAGTAATG